AAACTTATGATTTGATTGGCTAATTATCATGTGAAAATACATTAATATTTGTGTAACATTGAACGTTTCCCTCTGTTCTCAAAAACGTATTAAATAAATGGGTATAGGCGCTCTAAGTAAAAATGTTCAGCGCCCTTGAAAACCTTATGGGAACTGAAATCGGGACCTTATGTCTAATATATATTGTACGTATAATAAAAAACCTCTATTTATTTTAAAACTGGACCCTAACCCTAAATAAAACTATATATGTGTTATATAACATGGGTGTTATGAATATAATATTTCTAAATTTTATAAACAAGTCAATCAAAATATAACAATATATTGTTGCGTATAAAATTACCGATGCATTTAGACAGCATGCATTTAGACAATGCTAGATGTAATATTAAACTATTAAAAGAATGTTACAAAGCGACACTCAACGATGCTTTTAGTTGATAAAATATCGAAATATCACCTTTTATTTTTCAACATTCGAAACCACAATATCGAAAATTTCGAACATTTGCTTTAGTACTAAGCTTTTACTTCTCATTTGAAAATTTTTCATTTGGGCATTTTGATTTGATTTTTTTGCTGTTTTTCTTACCTTTTCTTATCAATCCCACACTTTTGGGGAAACGAGTATGACAATATATATTTAAAAACCGCAGTAAAAACGCGTAGATGATGTAGTGCGACGGTCTACGTCGTCGTCATACACAGATCATTTATAAGTAGCACGCTTTAAATTCCGGAGCTTTGATATTTAGTTATTTATCGTTATAAATATAAATAATCATTTATCGCGAATATACAAGTAATGCTAACTCGTGATTCGTTTCATCAACATTGCAAAACGATTTATTCAAATCTACTCGGTAGGATTTATCCACAATAATTTGTTTTTGAGCAAGAGCAAACTCCGCAACATCTTTACGATTCAAAAACCAGGTATGTTTGTGATTCAAGTTTTGCTTGAAAAAATTAAGAAACTTTCTTCTCAAACATCTTAATTTGATTCCGTGGATTTTAAGTATGAAAGGTAAAAATAATTTGAATCAACCAAAGAATGAGATCGAAACCTTGGGTGATATAAACATGGACGTTATTAGAAGTCAATATAATTCTACGGGCCCAATGGACATGAGATCATTGTAAGAGGAATTGATGTATGTTTATCCTTGTCATTTTCTTCGAAGTCAAATTTTAAACGCATATTCATATTCAATTTTGTAGTTGTATTAGAGCAAAGAACCAACTACGTAACTTGCTAAAGATTTTCCAATTATATATCAACGATACGAGGGATCCTGCTAGAGACGCAAAATATTTTTCGAAATGGGAAAAGAATTTAAAAAAATTAAATGGATTTATAGACCAGATTAATCGCAACGGATCTAATTTTGAGCTACCACAAGAACTTAGAGGCTCAAAACTGTCGACAATATCAGCTGAATATATAAATAAAACTTACGTATTAATTAATTCTATGAATGGCACTACTTCCCATATGAGAAATAATCCGGAACAACTCGGTACATTAGTACAGGATTTAATTCATACGCATATTGGTCCTTCCTCATTTGACACATCAGATATAAATGCTAGTAAATCACATGAAAATCTGACGCGTACGCCACATGAACAAGTGGTTAATAAATTGACAGATTCGGAGGCAGAAGGTATGAATTCTCGTATGAGCTTTAAAATTGATCGATTAAATGAGTAATTGTTATTTATTATAACAAATTATACGCGTAATTTAATATAAAGATTCAGATTTAGTCATTGAGAACCCTTTATTAATGAAGGATGTTGTTATTAATTATAATCGACCTTTAATGGACGACAACAAAGTTTCCATTACTCCTTCATATAAGCAATCCCGGAGTCCTGAAAAAATAGCTACAAGTTCAGGTGGCCAAAAAAATGTTAGCATTGTTCAACCTTCGAGTTCAAAGACTCCCATTTACCACGCTGATGTTATTCCTAGTAAACGTTCCTCTGATTGTGTAGCCCAAACTTCATATAAAAGAGCAAAATCTTCATGTCAGGAGATATCTCATGGAAGATTTGAATCTGTTGATCGTAGTAAATGGAGAGAAGAAACGCCCGGACATATCGTTTTGTTAGATAGCGATGATGATGAGAGTGATGCGGAAGACAAATTCGATCCAGTGATAATTATTTTAAGC